CTATGGTTTGGATATTAAACTCCCCTAAAAGCTCACGTGTTGAAGGCTCAGTCTTCACCTAGTGACTGCACTAGGTGGAAACTTTAGGAGGGCCTGGTAGGTCATGCCCTCTCTTTCTCTTTGCTTCCTGGTTGCACAAGTCTTGAGCAGCTTCACCCCACCACTAATGCCCTGCCATGTTCTGCCTCACCATAGGTCTAAAAGCACAGAGCCAACCAATCACAGGCTGAAACTTCTCAATCTGTGAACAATAATAAATTTCTCCTCTTTAAAAGTTGACTATGGGCTGGGGAGATAGCTCAGCAGCACAGCGCCTACCTGGCAAGCATAAGGTTGTGAGTTCGGATTCCTGATACCAAAAAAGAAAAAAAAAAGTTGATTGTGATTGTTAACTGACTGTATCAACTTTAGTGAGAAACGCCCCGCTACACTGGGTCAGACAGTTCTGGGTGTGGTGAAGGGATGAACTGAGCACAGAAGACCCACCCTGAGTGTACGTGGCACCAACCAAGAGGCTTGTTGCCAGAGTGGAATAAAAGGGAAACGAACAAGGAAGGCTAGCTTCTGTCTCTTCAGGGGTGCACCGATCTTCACCTTCACCTTCACCTTGGACATTGTCTCCTGGCCTCCAGCACTTGCCCAGGGCACCAGAGTGAGCTCCAGGCCTTCGACTGGGTCCTTCTGATCTCCAGCGCACAGATGGCCCCTGGCCCTCTTGCACACTTGCCTTTGTGGGCAGGCACTGTCAGCCAGTCTTGTAGATTCATGTATGTTTGTATATCTTGAATTAAATTGCTCTCTCTGGCAAGCACTGACTAACACATTGATTATCTAGGTATTTTATGACAGCAACAGAAAGCTGACACACAAACTCTTTTTTTTTTTGGTACTAGGAATTGAACTCAGGACCTTGTGCTTGCCAGGCAGGTGCTGTGCCACTGAGCTGTATCTCTGGTCCAAACTCGTTGTATTTCATCTTGAATTTTCTTTATTTTCCTGAGACTAGTTGAGACTTATTTGGAAAAGCAGTCAGTGCTTTCACCTTGCTGTGAGTTGTGATGAGGCCAGCAGAATGCTACATAAGCCACTCTGTGTGTGTGTATGCACAAGTAACACACGTATACACATCTCTACCCCTATTCAGTAGGGGATTCTTGGCCAAGGGCCAGGCCTGGGACAAATGTCTACGGGTTTCTGTTTGTTTGTTTTGGTACTGGAAATTGAACTTAGAACTTTGCACTTGCCAAGCAAGGTGCTGTGCTGCTGAGCTATATCCTTGGCAGTCTAGAGGTTTAAGAATGTCATGTTCTATTGTTCTTATGCTGTTTTGTAAATGGATGTTGGTTTGTTAATATGTTTTCCTTCTTTTATTCTTAAAAAAAAAAAAAAAAGAATGTCATGTTCTTCATACCTTCATCCTTTGAGAGAGACAGAAAATATGTAAGTGTTCTCCCAAGTTCTTCACACCATTACACTCTGGAAAAAAGGCCACTGGCTTGAAGAGGTCTACCGCACACTCCCATGACCTCGGCATTGACGCAGCCCAGGGAATGGAGAAAGAACATAGCCTATAAATCTCTGTGGCCTGGAAACTAGTGATGACATTTTAATTTTTATGCCCCACTGGTGCTCTACTTTAGCTGCAAGAAAAGTCAGTGGAAACTGAGGTCTTCCCCTGCATCTTAAGGAGTAGAAAAAGAGACGAAGAATCACTGAGGGACAAGCATACCGGGGCTCCAAGATGCCTCCAAGGGTCCCTTCCCTCCTGACTTGCACGTTCTTATGCGTAATGACTTCACAGAACAGGTCACAGAAGACACTGCAATACATGCCTTGCTTTCACATGTCTCATTACCTAATGCAGAAGCCAGCTAGCATGGTATGAGGACCCTCAAACAACCTGGAGGCCCAACTTGTGACCTGCAACTTCGCGCCAACTTGTCACCCATATCAGTTGGGTGTTCCGCCAGCCCATTGCATGTGGGCTTCTCCCCAAGGAGACTGAGAAGAGAGACAAAGAATTTAATAATTTCTTCTCTCTCTCTCAAAAATAAATACCTATCTTAATAACCACAGAGAAAGGAAATTTTTTTTGAGACAAAGTCTTACTTTGCAGTGCACGCTGGCCTGGAATTCACTTTGTAGCCCAGGATGGCTTTGAACTCACATTGATCCTCCTGCTTCAGCCTCCGGAATGGTGGGATTACAGGTGCATATACTTCCAGGTCTGGCTCATTTCATTTTTTGAAAATAAAATATAAGCTTAATTTTGGGCTGGTTTACATTACTTTTTTCTAAGGCAAATCTTCAATTTCTCTTTTTAAAAACAAATGTTTTATTTGAATATAATACACATGTAGAAAAGTGCTCAAATTATAAGTGAACATCTTGACGAAACATTAGAAAGCACACTCACGTAACCATCACCCAGATTAAAGTAACATCAGCCTCCTAGAATCCTTTAATCACTCTTCTAACCCTCTTTCCCAAAAATAACCATCACCCTCACCTGTCACATTTTCTAGTAATGCTAGACTTAATTTATTATGGTAATGGGGAGTGGAGCCAAATTTCAAGCATACTAGCTATGCACTGTATCACTGAGCTGCATCCCCAGCCCCTGAACTTAATCTAAACAGAATCATATAGTATGCATTCTGCTGTGTCTGGTTCCTTTCACTCAATTTATATTTCTCAGTTGGGATTGTAAACATCCTGCCTACTTGCCATTAGTAAAGGAGTCACCTATTATTTTAAGTAAACTTTAATGATGGCCACAGACTGTCAGTAAAGGTGTCACACACTACAGAGGGTAAAATTCATATATGAGAAAAACCTTTCAATAACTTACTGGAATCTTACTAAGTCTGTGCTTTCTTTAGATTATAAGGTACAGAGTAGCTGAACTTTTCAGCAGTCCAGTCCTCCCCGTCCCCATCTAATTCAGGGGTTGCTGTATGCTAGGCAAGCACTCTATCATTAAGATACATCCCCTCTCACTGTCATTTTGGGTTTTTTTTGAGACAGGGTCTTGCTTTACAGTGCACGCTGGCCTTAACTCACTATTGTGCGAGTCAGCACTAAAAATATGTATATAAAGCACCTTGCCTGTAAGCTGTAGATGTGGCCTGTCCTGAAGGGTCAACTAAGGACTCTGAAGATGGAGCATGGCAGGACTTGGAGGGAGGCCACAGCCTTAAAAATGCAGCACCGTGGGTGCATTTTCTGTGCTGTTCCCAATGCTATCAAATAAAACAAGTGCTTTTCATAAACTATCTTTAGGACTCCTCAAGGAAAGCCTTTGTTCTCATTAAGCATATAAGACAAAACACTTCTAAAATAAACAGGGTGGTTATCAGCCCTCTCCTTGTATCACAAGTCTTCTTTCATCGGAGATCAGCCCCAATATTGATTGGGGAACTACAACTATGTAGCCCAGGCTGGCCTCAAACTTGCTATAATCCTCCTGCCTCAGCCTCCCAAATTCTGGGATTACAGGTGGTGTGCCACCATGCCTATCTTTTTAAAAAGATGCATGTTTTTTGGATAAATTGTTTTTATCATCCAAATCTTGCTTTGGGGATTGAGATGAAAGGTGCTTTGGAAAACTGTAAAAATACTACTCAAATTCCTGGCACTGTTGGCTTGCACCTTGGCAGCTGTAAGATGATGAAGGCTCCCTAGGATGAGCTATTAGAGCTCACGGACTTAAACCCAAGTAACTTCAAGTCAAGGAGGATCACATTTTGGGGGGCCAGAGGCCAACAGGTAAGCAATGTTGGGGAATTAGAAGAGTAGCTATAGGTGTTCTCCTAGGATCCATATGTTCTTGCTGGGCCTGTAATTTCAAGGTAGGAAATAGGGTTTTCAGTTATTCCTACAGTGCGGGGCGCTAGTTTCCAGTGAGTTTGAGAATTCTATTCAAACAAGCACAACAGAAGCTCAACCTTCTAGTTCAGCCTGGTACTATACCAGTCATGATGGCAGAGGTGAAGAAAGGGCTATTGCTTAAGGGACATGATAGTCTCCTAGGACAGTACTATGAAATAATTAGTAAGCTGGATAAACTCCCAGGCGACCACAACTCGAAGGGCTGAGGGAGTGCTTTAGGAGTACAGAGCTGTGTGCTATCACTGCCAGCTCGGGCAGCCTTTGGTAGAAGGGATGCTTGGCGGCATCTTTTTGGAGATGTCAGGGTCTCAGGGCTGTGGGCGACCATTTTCTCTCCCCAAGAGACAGATGATTAAACAAAACACCAACCAACCAAAAAACCCAGTGCAGGCTCTAACTCCTACCTCTCCTTAATACACAACACAGAAAGAGGGTCTGGGTCTTCTTCAAAATGCCATTCCAACTGCCCGGCTCCCACACCCACTCCTTCACCACAGGCGAAGGATTTATAAACCCACCTCCTTCCTCCAGTTGCCATGGAGACCAACCCCGGGCCTTTCATTCCTTCCGGTACCGGGAACAAGTCTCCAGCGCAGGCGAAATGGAGGGGGCTCAGCCCAGCACGTTGGGGGAGGGGGTGTCAGTACAATATAGGGACGACGAAACCTGTTCCAGGGAAAAGTCAGCGGGTTCAAGCTTTCCCGTCTGCCTACGACGGGCGACCACCCGCCACCAGGACTCTGCTGGTTTGGAGGAGGGCGCGAGCCCGGAGAGGACGGCACAAAGGAGTGGGGCGCGACGCACAGCCGTACGGGGAGCTTTCGGGGACCCGGGGAGCTAACCCCCCCACGCGTGGGGGTGGGTAGGGAGGAAGGAGGGGAGGCGGACCCCTCCACCCACACTTCCATTGGGTGGCGCCGCCATCACTCTCCCCAGGGCGACACCGCCTTCTCCTCAGCGGAGCCCGGAGCCTGCCCTTCTCCACCACCCTCCGCCCCGCCCCGTCCCGAGGGGGACCTCTTATTGGGCATAGCTGGGTTCAATCTACCTCAAGTTAGGAACCCGATTGGACGAGAGGCCTTCGGTCCGCCCTCAGGCTACTCGGATTGGCTTGTTGCGCCTTGGCGCAACGGAAGAGGCGGCCGGCCGAGGGAGCGCCTCTGCTCCGGCTGAACTGCCGCGGAGGAGGAGGAGAGGAGTTCAGCGCTGGGGGGTCGGCTAGGGCGGCAGCAGTGGCTGCTGTGCATGGGAACGGGCCGGTTCGGCGCGCCCATGGAGCGCCACGGCAGAACCGCCGCCACATCAGCCCCATCAGCCGGGGAGCCGGAGCTCGGAGGCGCCGAAGAAGGGCGGCGGCGGGAGCCACTGCGGCGCCGAGCGAGCAGCGCGTCGGCGCCCCCGGTTGGGGCCTCAGCGGAAGGCGCGAGGCGGGACCGGCCCGGCTCCTACAGCGGTCCTGCCTCCGTCTCCCGCCAGCGCGTCGAAAACCTCCGCAAAAAGCGGCCGCGTAAGTCTCCCGCCGGGCGCCCAGCGGCTCGCCCTGCCCCCTTCCGGCCGCGCCGCCTTTTTTCCCGCGCGCGGACGGGACCCGGCTCGGCGTCGCGCCGGGGTGCGAGGCCTCACGCCCGGCTGGAAGGAGTTCAGCCCCCGCCCGGCCCTCGCGGCCATCGGTCTGCGCTTCTCTCTGTTTGCGGGGCCCGGACCCTTCCTCCCTCGCCTTAGCTCCTTGGGCTTTCTTTCCCCGAAGAGTCACATGATTTTATCCTCGAGAAGGCTTCTTTTGATTCATTTCTATCCCCTTCTATCCCCTCCCCCCGAACCCTTTGAATCGCCACTGTCTGCGCTCCGTGGGTTCCCAGAGAGCCGCTTTCCAAGATGTTAAATCCTTTTCATCTGGCGATTTCCGGCTTACTGGAAAATGGTTAGCCGTCCTCTGAGTTGCTCGAGGCCTGAAACTGGGCTCCATGAACCGTGCTCCTCTAATCTTCGGCTGCTTTCTTCCCATGAGAATTCAGGTCATCTCACACCCAGATGTCTTCCGATTTCCCTCCATCTATTTGCAGGTAGTCACGATTCAGGGTTGTAATATTCTGGACACTAAGGCTTTTTCTTTTGAGAGAAAACGACATCTTCCTGAATTTTACCTTGGGAGTTGCACTCGCCCTTCCCACAGAATCAATTTCCCATTTTATTACCAGATTGTATTTTCTGCATTGTGTATTTTCTGCCTTTTATAGGTCTTCGGTTCAGGCCTACCGTCTCGCAGCCACTGCTACTGTGGAAAGTATCAGTTGTCCTGATATTGAAATACGAGCTTTATCGTGTAGCAGCGTTTTGCATATCGGCGGACTTTGTGGTGGTTGCCAAATTCCTGTTTGAGGAAATCGACTTGCTTAAGTGCAGATCTTGAGAGTGAGGGAAAGTGGCAGGATGTGTGTGAGGTCTGTGTTGGATAGGCCTTACCCTAGCACAGCCACTCACTTGATTTTCATTGTCATCCGAGATTTGGATGATTATATGTAACACTCGTTTTTTGCTGTGGAAAGTTTGGAAGTTTTTAGTGCTTTTGTCTTTGCCCTTGCAAGAAATTTATAAAACAGATTCTCAACCTATTCCATTTCTGGAGTTGTCTGGTATTTGTATTGTTTGAGGAGCACCTGATTTTTAAGCAGTGCAAAACATTAGTTCCTTCATGGTTTTGTACTACATCATTGGAGACGAGTGTAAGTTCCAGAGATTGAGGAAGTAAGAATCACAACCACATAGCTGTTCATGAGGATTCAGAATGTTGTATTTTGAGAGTTTGCATAGGACCCACCGCTCTTGTAGGAGCTATAGTAACTCATCAGCTCTCAGAGCTCTGAGGTGGGTGAGAGTGCTCCATTTTACAGAGGAGAACACTGGGGCCCACTGTCTAGTCAGATGGTTAACGTAGTGAAATAAAAGCGTAACCTCAGAAATTTTACCTTCCTTCCACTCTTAACTACTGTGCTTTACTGAATTGGTTTTTCTGTTTCTTCATTGCTCTAAGACCAAACATGAGCAATATCTTTGTGTTCTAGGCTATCATCATACTTGAGATGGAAATTGTTAGCTACTGTGCAGCTATTGAGCATGAAATTGGAATGGAGAGTTAAAAGAGTGTAGATTCCCCAGGCTCATTTTATCTTTTTTTTTTTTTTTTTGTGGGCGTGGAGAATCGAACTCAGGACCTTGTCCTTGCTAGGCAGATGCTGTACCACTGAGCTATATCCCTGGCCCTTAAAACTTCTTTTAAGAAATTCACTAGACGTATTCATGTTGTAGGTTTTTTTTTTTTTGGAGACAGAGTCTTGCTATGCAGTTCAGGCTGGCCTTGAGCTCACTTTGTAGCCCAGGCTGGTCTCGAACTTGCAAGGATCCTTCTGCCTCAGCCTCCCCAGTGCTGGGATTACAGGCGTGCGCCATCATACTTGTCTATATTTATGTTTTCTTTGGTTTTTTTTTTTTTTTTTTGGTACCTGGAATCAAACTCATGACCTCATGCTTAAGAGGCAGGCACTGTACCACTGAGCTATATCCCTGGGCCTGTATTTATGTTTGATTTGGTGTCAGAATTATGTTTTCTTCATTTCTTTCTCTGAGTGATAAATTATGAGAAGCCATCTTTCAGGTAATGAGACCTGTAGAAGAAATGAACAAGGTATTGCTTATTCTTTACATTTGCTCTTCCTCTGCTATCCATGGGGCACTTCTAGTGGGAAGGCAGTTTGTTGCTGATGAACTTGCCAAGGGTATACTTTGCCTTAACTCTGAAAGAATCCATTGATGACTAAATCTGTCTTTATTGGGAGCTTTGGGTATTGAAGGGTACCACCTTTTGTTTGAGATTACAAATCTTTGTTCAGATGTCATTACATTACTTATCTAAGAGACTAGACTAATTGTCTAGAGACTAGATGTCATTTGAAACTTGATGATACTTAGTTTTTCTTAAAGAGTTCTTGTACCTCTTGTTGTAGTTATGTTCTGTCATACATATCCCTGGAAGAGTGTGGTTCCCGAATTGGTTGCTATCCCAGACTAATTGCATCAGAATAATTAGGGATGAGGCTAGGCATGTGTGTGTCTAAGAAAATTTTCGTAAGTTTTGGATAAGGTGAGGGGTATGTCTCATAGGACAGAGAAGTACTAAATAAAAGATAGGTTAAAAATGTTGGGAACATGGGCTGGGGATGTAGCTAGTGGGAGAGCACTTTACTGGAAGGCTGGAGGTCCTGTGTTCTCTCTACCTCTTTCTCTGAGTAGTTAGTACGGGATTGCTTTGAGCTCGTGATTCTCTTTACCTGTGGCTCCTAAGTTCTGGGATTGAAGATGTGTGTTATGATCAGGCTAGATTGAATGGGTTTGTTTGTTTGTTGTTTTGGTCTTTTTTGAGACAGTCTTGCTATGCAGTTCAGGCTGGCCTTGAGCTCACTTTGAAGCCCAGGCTGGTCTCACACTTGTAACAGTTCTCCTGCCTCAGCCTCTGAATGCTGGGATTACAGGCGTGTACCACCACGTGTTTTTTTTTGTCTTTTGTTTTTGCAGTTCTGGGAATTGAACCCAGGAGTTTGGGCATACTGGCTGTAGTACTAATCCACATCCTACTCTTACATAGCTCATTTATTTATTAGACACTGCCAAATATTTTATAAACATCTCACTTAAATCTCAGTATTACTCTGTGAAATAATTTTCTTTTTTAATCCTTTAATTTCCAGATGAAGAAACAGGCACAGTGAAATTGTTGCAGCGTCCAAAGCCGTACAGTCCTTGAACTTGCAGCAGTCCTACTGGCTCAGCCTCTTGAGTGCTAGGGTTGCAGGCACGCATCATGATGCCAGGTTGTTTTTTTGGTGAGGCCTGGGATCTGAACCCAGGACTGAGTGACAAGTGCCTGTGCAAGTACCTGCACTATACTGCTGAGCATTTTACCAACCTGGAGCTTGGTTTTGATTCTGACTTAAGATGCAGTATTCTTGGTCCTCATTTTGGGGTTGCAAGAAGCAAATGTAATCCAGAGCTATGGTTCTCACTTTTTACATATTACTGAGGCAAGAATCACATTCAGTAAAATGCACAAGAGAATATACATTTTTATCAAGGGTCCCAGATGTGCAGCAGATGTGCAAGAGGTGTGGGAACTGGGATCATAGTGCTCCAGGGCAGTGTGGGGAAAGAGCTGGTTCTCTTAAATACCTTGTAGCACATTAGGGGATCATTGGGACTTGCTGATTTTGGACTCATGCCAGTCATGGGATAGCCTTAACCTTCATTAGTCTTGAAGATAAAACTTCTGTTTGTAGCGTGGCAGTACTAACTTAGAAAAGAGATTGGTTTTTTAGGGGCTTTTGGAAAAGCATCCAGCCTGGCAGAATGGAACTGGCATTGGGGCTCAGTATTTCAGCTTGTAGTTGAGGAATTAGAAAGAGTTGCTCACTGGAAGATGAGGAGAAAAGTTGTTTTCCTGTGGCCTTGTAGCCCATTTTTTGAGAAAGTGTGGCAGAGGATATATATGTATAAAATATATGAAAATATAAATGTGTAATTTATATATCTTTATATAAAAATTTTAAAAATTTTTAGACTTTCATCTTTTTTATTTTTCATTTTTGTGGTGCTGGTGTCAAACCCAGAGAGCCCTGTGCATGCTAGCCATGCATTTTTATTTATTTAGTCATTTTGGAGACAGGGTCTCACTATGCAGTTCAGGCTGGTCTTGAGCTGACTTTGTAGCCCAGGCTGGTCTTGAACTGTCAGTGATCCTCCTGCCTCAGCCTCCCAAGTGTTGGGATTACAGGCATGCACCACCATGCCTGGCATACAAAGGCATTCTTATACTGAGTTATACCTCTAGTCCTTGTTTCACCACCTTTAAATGAAACCAAAATAAATATGACCCCTCATCTTGGGTGTATAACAAATGTAAAGCATTAAGCAGGGCCTAAAAATAGTCTAATCATACAGCTATGTAAAATGGCACAGCATATTATTTTAGGGGCTAGGTGTATGAATCATGTACTGTATTTGGATACTGTGGTTTTCCCTCTTTCTCTGCCATGTATTTGTCTGGGGAGATCAAGAAGAGATACACAGTATGCTATTAAAAATATTTTGTGCAACACTTGTTAGAAAAGGAAGAAGATAATTGACCCTAGGTTATTGGAGAAGATCTTATCAGGCAGTTAAAGAAATAGCTGTTTTACAATCATTTGAAAGAGCAGTGATGTTTGTTGGACAAGTTTGTAATAAACAAAGCATTTCTCAGGTTCTTGGTGTATCTTTGTCTTCACAATATCTTTGTCTTCAAGATACACTTGGTATATCTTTGTCTTCAGGCATTGTTCTCTTTAAATTTATCCCAGCAAGACTGATTAAGGTATGAAAACTTCCTTTCTCCAAATTATGGTTTAAAGTTTCCTTTCTAAAAGTGAAAGCTGTCTCATGTATTGAGTATTCTTACCTTAATGTATTTATATTTTATGA